ACCAATTCCACTTTTGAGGACTCAGGCTCCTGTGAGGCCATGCTCCAGGAGATGAGAGAAAACTATCCCCGATTCCTGCACAGCAAGTACATCCCTGGCAGAATCTGGCCAGAGTCTCTCCCTGATGGCCAAGACACAGCTGTAATGCTGAACGAAATATAAATTCATCATCCCTGGATCTCCCCCCACCAACAGACTTCGTGCTATAAATGGCTATTGGTTAGCAACCAGTTACATCTTTGGATTATACCATCCACCTCCTATTTCTCTTCATTATAAACATGACCCTGAACTCTCTCATTAAAATCAGCAGATTTTACAGTTGTTAACTGCTAAGGGAGAGCAGAAAGACACAACCCTTGCTTGTCTGACAAACTTAAGTGAGGACTCAGGCACATTCTGCAACTGAAGCATTGGCTAGGTAGTTTAAATGAAGCTGTGTGATTATGCTCCCCCTCCCGCCACACACACACACACACACACACACACAGAGAGAGAGAGAGAGAGAGAGAGAGAGAGAGAGAGAGAGAGAGAGAGAGAGCTCTCCCTGACCCTTTTGCATTGATAGCTCATAACACTAAACTGACAGCGGGGATTACTTGGCACAGAATTCCAATTTGGGAGCCTAGATACTGTATGGAAGCTTTCTGAATTTGAGCCCCTGTTGGACTCCATCAGACCCGACCAGTATATACAATCATCAGAAATGCTGGAGACCGTAATCTAAATTTATTTTATTTATCATATGGCACATTCACATCACACTTCAACAACAACAACAAAAAGCCACAGGCATAAAAACATGACATACAAAATAGAAAAACCAAAACATCATTAACATATATCTAAACTGCAGATATAATTTTTTTGCTTCGTTTGTCACAACCAGGAAATCAGCAAAAACTCCTTTCAAAGCTCTGCTTTGGCACTACGTGTTGGATAGTTTGCCTTTCAGTCCCACCATCACAATTTGGTGATGGCATTTTGCCCCTGTTATAAAGGGCACCGGCACATCTGCCATGGCCACCGTGAATTCGATTTAGCATTGTCCATAGCGCACAGGGCTGGCCAAATCCAGGTGGTTTTCCCAAGATGCAGGGCAGGCTACAACATTGTGGGAGACAATTTCCCATCCAGTGTTGCTTCCACATATTGTGAATATTAAAATCATCTTCCTCAAGGCAAACGTGTCCCCTGGGGGTGGCGGGTGCTAAAGAGCAGTCCCTTCAAGGCATAATACCTGAAGACTTGAAGGTACTGCAGCCAGTCAATCCTACTGATTTCCTAGTGATCTCCAGGTTGTGACACAAGGTTGGAACGCCTCCTCTAGAGTCCCCCCAATCCCACACAGCTGGAAGAGAAACAAATGTACTTCTAGCTGTTTCAAACGGGAAGCTTCCACATTTATGTATAAGTACCACTTGAGACAAATTGAAATCTATTTTTAGATTTCTACTCGGAGGAGGGCTTTCTCTGCGGTGGCGCCCAACCTATGGAATGTGCTTCCCAGAGAGGTCCACCTGGTGCCATCGTTATTTGTTTTTCAGTGCCAGGCCAAGACCTTTTTATTTAAATGCTATTTTAACTGTTAAGGTTGATTTGTTGATTTTAAACTGACCAGGCTGTTTTTATTTTATTTTATTTTATTTTATGTATATTTATTTATTCGATTAATTTTTTTGTATTTATATGTGGGATTTTATGATTGTAAGCTGTCCCAAGGCTTATGCGATGGGGGTGGCATATAAGCTGTCTAAATAAATAAATACATATTTTTGTGCCTAGCCTGGTTTTACATGCAATCCCATGTTGAAAGTGTTACAAACAGCCTTTTGTTTCACGATATGGTTGAATGTATTTCCTCATTCTTGCAAACTCAGTTCCTGCCTGCTGTTTTGGGATGTTTTAGTTAGTCTTGAGAAACAGGGTTTACACACATCCTCTGAACACCAGGTGGCAGTGTATGCAAAGAATAGTAAGAGTTGTTTAAATAAAACAAGCAAGACCCTAGATTCTAATTTCCTAACCAAAGATGGGCTGAGAAAAGTCGTACATCAATAATTCAAAAATTCAACAAAAAGTGTTAACACTGTACCATGAAGTCAAGGTTATATTCTTTATGTTGGGGAAAACACATTTGATTTTCTCAAAACCCAGTAAGCAGGAATGAACATGACGCCACTACACTTTCAGATGCGCTGCATATTTTAAAATGAAGATGGGGAGATGCAATTCATCATGGAAACTAGAAGACTGCAATTTGCCGGCTGTTATAGGATTAGGACATGCTTTGTTGGTAAAGGAAGTCTTTAGCCCTTGTGCCACTGAATTGTAGAAGGTTTTCAACACTTCTTTTTTAGGTTTCAGTAGGCCTTTTCAGCACTTTTGTCCTGTTTTTGAGTGACTTTAAAGGTGAACTTCATTTCTGGTTTTAAATTATGTTTCCTTTCCATGTGCTGTGGTACACTTTTTAGAAAAGTTTTAAACTGCAAATCCCCTGGGGGATCTATTTGGTCCAAAATGCAACTCAGAAAACCCGTTTATATAAAAAAAGGGATCAAATAATTTCTTCAGTTCCACCCATATGCATGTGGGGGGTGAGTTTGGAGGGATATTCCAAGAAGCTGGTGAAATTTAACTACATTTTTCTTCTTTCTCCAATGTATGAAATTGAATTCAAGAACAATATCTTCACAGTGGCTGTTTTTTGTTTTTTTTTTCTTTTTTGGGTGTGGGGGTTCATCAGCAAGAGAGATTGATAATCCCCTAAGAAGTAAAATGAGGTCATTTCTCAATGAGTTTCCCCTCCACTAATTAGGATTCACTTGAATATAGCTAAAAAAGATGAACAATTGTTAATAAACGTTTTTTGAAATTTAGAACCACTAAAGATGTAGCCTCCTACTTTTCTGCAGAGATTATCCTAGCCCATCAAGATTACATATGCAATGCTTTTTCACACAATCTAGTTAACATATACTTAACATTCAGCTAAAACTAAACTAAAACTGAAAAAGCACTAAAACACACACACACACACACACACACACACACACACAGAGGGAGGGAGGGAGGGAGAGAGAGAGAGAGAGAGAGAGAGAGAGAGAGAGAGAGAGAGAGAGAGTCCTAAAGAAAGAAGACACACGTGCACATTCCATTTATTGATGGAAAAACTAACCTTAAGACTGGTTTTACTTGTTTCACTTTTAAAAGTAAATCAAGTGTTGTTTCACATTGAAAGGTAAATAAAGTATTTGCATGATTCGGGTAGGGAAAGGCATTCAATTCATGACCTATATTTCATATTTTATTTGAGTGACTAAATGCAAAGTACAACTAACCAGGCAACAAATCTAAAACTAGCAACATGGACGGGTGTACATAACTATTAACTAGTCATTGAGCTATTAAAATAACACCCATGTTCAACAAATACTTAATCATCAAAACCAATACCAGAATCACAGATTGTGTATAGTTTCTTAGTATTATCCTGCAATTCAGGAAGCAGTACTAAAAACTTGTGGCTGAATTTGCTTTTCCCCCTCCTTCCTCCCAATTCCTTTTGTCTTGCATCTTTCAAATTGCACTCCTAAGGGAAGAAGCTGTCTTATTACTGATCTTTGTAAGCCACTCTGAGACCCTTCTTTTGGCTGAAGAGCAGGATAAACATGCTTAACATACTTTTAAAATGATGCAATCGTAATAAATATGCTAGCTCCTTCCAAGCCTATGACAATAAAATGCATTGTTAGAAGAATGTCCCTGATTGAGTTCATTCTCCTGATGTATAAAGCCCTTCAGAAAGCACTTGATCATCTCAGTTGATAGAGCAGCTGCGTATCTGCATCCAGTTGGATTAGGAAACAGCCTTATCAATGGTGTCCTCACTGCTTGGAAGCCCCTGACCTCATGGGCTTCCAAGATTGCCATGTCCTGCTGTGCTGAAGGTGGCAAGGGGGGATGAGATGGCAGAGGGAATCAGATTTCTGGCACTTCAGGAAGAAGAAAAGAAGCTCAAGGGAAGCTCAGGCTCCTTGCCTCCCTCCCCACCTGAACACCCCCCTTTCCTCCTTCTCCAGTGTTAATTTCCAGCTGTGGAAGGCCGCAAACATATGCTTTCCACACAGGCTGCAAGAAGATGGCGGCAGGGGGTGGTGTCACATTTCTGACTCACTCTTGTGTGGTCAGATCAGTGTCCAACCTCAGGAGGATCCCTCTTGAGGTTGGACACTGTGGTCCTGGGACACTCTCCTGGAAACAACAGGATGGTTCTCATAGCTGCTTCCATGTGAGTAACTTTAGGAATGAGCTAGTGGTAACAAGGAATATAACTGAATACAGCATTTAGCCACAGGCTTATTAAAGTCATGTGGGTAGTGTAATTAGGTTAAGCTAAGGAACTATTTCCAAGGGTTGTCAAACAAGGAACAAGCTCACAATTAAGGATTCGTTATCAGAAATGAGCAGAGATATTTGCAAGACTGTTTTCATAACCTCTTGGACTGTGATTCAACGCTCCTTTATACAAGCCATTTAATCAGTCTACTTTCAATAAGGATGTGCAATCTGAACACTTACAACAATAGATTCACTGTGGAAATCTGTTTCAAGGAGTGGGAAGATTTTCATGTCATATTTAATGACAGAAGGAAAGAATTAAATGAGATATGCAACCAAGAATCTAAATTTGAGCTGCACTTAGCATTAAACCTTGATTTTAAATAGGACCGATTTTGTTACAAATATCAGGGGGTTAAAAAGCAACACAGACCTCAGTAGGCAATGGAACATGGTTACACTCTCTCAAAAGTGCTCCAGACTGGACTGCCCATCCGTAAAGAAGAATGAGAGAAAGCAAAAGTTTCCTAGTCAAGCAGCATTTACACTTTGTGAATAGATATCTAAGAATAACAGGATATGTGAATTATTATAATGCTCTTGAAACTACTTTTAGTTAAATTGTCTAGGCAAAACAGAAAAAATCTAGGTAAACTCACCTGTATATTTCCAAAGTCCACATTTTCATAATGAAAGTGAGCACATTCGGCCATCTTTGGGAAGTGGCCCTTGGTAAAGGATAACCTAAAACACAAAGCAATAGATCGGATGCACATTAGTGCAGTGACCAGAGTGGAACACAGAGGATACTTGTGTGTCATCTGGATATCTAATCCAACAGAAGGTGGAGTGCTGCTAGGTGAGACAGTGAGGAAGAGAATTCTGCAAGGAAAGGAATCTGTTATGTTATTTATCATGGAATTTTCACAGGGGAAAGAGTGCCTTCAAGCCCACTGAAAGCCAGTGCCTTAAGGAAAAATGCAGGGACAAGGTGTTCACCTTCTAATATGTAGTTATTGAGGGCACCAAGCAACATCAATAACCGGGCTCAAATGAAACCAGAATTTGCCTGTGAAAGGATCACCACCCTTCACTCCTTGGTTGGTATATCTGGAGGTAGAACATTTTCTCTGAATCCTTTACTGAGTTTAAAGTTGGTGATGTACCGCAATTGTCTCTAGGCATTTCAACTACAGAAGTTACTGGCAAAAGTTCAGCAGTTGTTGAACTTCTTTCAGACTGCTTAAGTTGATATTTCTGGTTGTAAAACAAGGCGACTACTTCCATCGCTCACTTTTCTCATGTAAAAGGCCAATTAGATTTAGCAATCTGCCCCCTTCCCACTAAGAAAAAGGTCATCAGCTTTTCTAGCAGAATCAACAGGCAGTAGATGGTTATTAGGTATAAATGGGTATAAAAGGAGAGCCCCCTTAAACCTTAAATTACCATTATACCTAAACATGGGAGAAATGCAAATCCAGCTAGCAAATTATATAGGAGTGCATTTTGCTTAGGACAGGAAAAAGATGGAAAAAGAGAAAAGGGAACAAAATAGGACACAACGGCACAGTTAAATATAGCTAGGATGGCACTTGGAAGAAAATCCATTTTCCCCAATGTTCTGATTGCTGAAGCACACATATCAGCACATCTTTCTTTCTAAATTAAGTTAGAGACTGACTGCTTTTCATTTGCACCAATACTAGGTCAAAACTGTTGGGGATAAAAGGTACTTTGAAAGAATAGAGCAGGAGCTGGGGAGTTTAGAGAACGATCACCCATTGTACAGATTTCCAGGCGTAATAAGTTAAGGAACATTGAAAAAGTGGGTTAGCTCTCAGGTAGTTCGAATGTGCTTTCCTTTTGCCTTCTGCTAACACTAGTTTGTTTGCTGTTGTTTTAAGTGTTTATCAGTAACAAATCAACAAATGTCAGTTTAGGAGTAATAACTGGAACTAGAAAAGCAAGAATGATGAGACCTAACAACTTACTTTTTCACATTCTTCACTTTCATACTAGCTGTGCTGCTGCAGGTCCGCAAGGGTAGCTCTCCTGAAATTTCAGGAATGTCCGCTCCTCTTGCCTGAGGAAGAGAAAATAGAATTGCAAGGAAGCTTAGGTGATTTTAGCAGCATTAAGATTAATTAAGATTCCACCAGAGATCACAGATTAGGAATATACAGACAGGCTCATCAAAACGAATAATTGATGGTGGACTTCTAAAGCCACATTTAAACATCTAAAATATTTCCAAAGAAAATAGCACACATGCAACCCCAATAGGTACCGATGAGCTAAAGAAAGAACTTATAAAAGAACAAAACACTATTAAGGAGGGAAATCATGAATAAACTTCAGCAGTTGGAGAAAGACACTATCCATGTGGACAAAGAGCTTCCCATGACAGTAGTGGTAGAATAAGAACTGAGCAGAAACACAGGAACCTGCTAAGGGTATGCTTACTGAGAGGGATGGAATGGGGTGGGGAGAAAAGACTGCTGACAGAACTCTCCCCTGCTGTGGAAGTTTCTTAAAGAAATGCTCAGTGTAGGCACAGAGACCAGAGAGAAGTACTTTTCCTCCATTTCACCAAACTGAGGAATGTAGATATAGTGCTGGTTTGTCATGCTTCAGCTTACTCATGTGGAAAGCATTGCTTCTAATAGCCCTTTTTCTTGCATTGTGGCTCAGACATGAGATCCAAAATTTCATGAAAATCACATAAATCACTGAATCCCTTTACTTTAATATTTCTATTACTGGAAAGAGCAAACACAATAAAATTGTTGTGGCAAATATTTGAACAGTATGTAGAATATAGAATGTCTCAAGGCACCTATCGTGAAGAAACTTGCAAGTCATGTAAAATCCACAATAATGAACAGGGAACCCTTCTGAAATCAAAAAGCAGGCCTAATAAATAAAAGTCTGGTCAAGACAGAATAGCACAAGTTCACCAGCTGAAACATTCACCAGCCAATAATGAAGGATGTAACCTTAGCCTTCCTAGGGAAGGAGTTCCTTAACTGGGATGAGTTTATGCAAAAGGACTAACTTTGGTCATCATATTTACACAAATTTAGATCACCTAAAAATAAATCAGAAAACAATGAACAGTACGGGGACATAGGAAGCAAGGTGGCCCTTACTCTACTGTATCCCCACAGAACAGGACCAAATTCACAGCATATTATGTAGCACAAAACAGCCTGCTTTATTACAGAACATGCAAGAGATAGTCACTTATTAAAAATTGCACACTTCCACAAACAGATTTTGCTAACAATTGCATTTGTTATCCTTTTATTCTTCTTGTGAACAGTAAATTGATTTTTTACAAGTTCTCTGAAATGGCTGACTTATTTAGATCTGAATACTGGATGGAAAACATCTGGAGTAGTGGTTTTTTACCACCGATATTTCTGTATCGATGTCCTGTAAAACACAAGTAATTACATAACCAATCTGTTTATGCATATGCTATATTCCAACCTTCTTACCTTGATGTAACTGCAGTTTCAAGCGATCTTTCTGAACTCTGATATACTAATTTGAGCATGATCAAAGTGTGGATGCTAGCAAAGAACTGGATTCAGCTTTAATCACTGACAAATAATGTTTTGGGGAACTGGGCCGTATTTTAAATATTGCCCAACAACAGAATAGAGTTCTAACATTCTAAATACACTGTGAATAGTATTATAGATAAACTTTTATTTATCTAACATTTTAAGAAGTCTTATTCAGTGGCATGGAAACACTTTTAAGGGGTGCCTCAATGGTTGCAAGCAGACATTTTAAAATGTTCCAGCAATTTGTAGCAATTCCTCTAATATTCTGTAGATTCTCTAATATCCTGCATAGCTGCCATGCTTTTCTCATGGCTGCCACATGCCTTTATTCAAATAATCTTATGAAATTCTAACCATTCAAAATAGGACACTCACAATAACTCATGTCAATAGCACATTTATATGCATAATAAGGGCAAAAAACTATGAAGGTTTAAAAGAAAGAAGCCCTAAAACTCTCAGCCTCTCCCAGCAAGCCATGATAGACAGGGAATGCAGGCATTCCTATGACTTATTTCTGTCCAAACATACACAGGATTGCATATATTTTGCATATTTATTACATATTTGCATATACATTCAAAGTCAGAATATAGCTATTTTAGCTGCATCTTTTGATATGCTTCAGTAATGATTGTAAGAATAACCCTGAACAAAATTACTGACCCACAATATCCTATCTGGACATCATTTATTAAAAAATAGCATTGGTTACTCCACTAAATAAATGACCTAAATCTCTTGCCTAAGAGTAAATCTTGGGGGGGGGGGGGAGTACTTAAATGCATACAACATTATCTGCATTCCCAATCTGGTTCACAGTGTCTACAGTCACTTATACCCTAAACTTACTTTGCTGATAAACCAAACTGATAAACCAAAGTGCTGGACCTGTAAAGCCCATGCAGCATTGCATTATACTTTAGTCTATGCCTACAAACATATAAAGTATCAGTTTCAAAATAGAATAGTGGCTGCTGCGAGGATAAAAGGGAGCTACATAAGCCATCTTGGGTTCCTCACAAGAAAAACAGATGTGGCCTCTAGTTCCCCCTTGATCTGGTCCTGCAGATCCAATCAAGGCAGATTTTAAATCAGTAAAAGCCACATACAAAGACCATGGACAGTTGACTGCATATTTTTAATCAAATGCTTATGGTCATAATGTGACCTACTGTATTCTTTTCATCACTGAATCTAGCTTGCTCCTCTGCTGTTAGGTTTTCTCCTTCAAGCCAGCATTTGAGTTTATCTAGGAGATGACCAGCATATAATTTGCTGATAATACTCAGCAGACATCTTGGTCCATAACTAGCTGGGACATTTTTCCAGACTTTCTTTTAAAAAATGGGACTACAACAATAGCTTTTCTAGTACTTATAATTCACTTATATCAAAAACCAAGACAGCTTAGAGTCCCTCTCCAGTTCTTTCCTGATAAGGGGCACAGCATCTCTAAATCTTCTTTGGCAATAGCTGACAAGATGATCTTCTCAAAGGTTCCACTGAGATGTCAGGTGACATGTTGTTCTAGGAAACACCTGCATGTACTGAGGAAAACTTAAAGCACTAACTGAAAATGTTGTTTTCTGCGTAACAGTAAAGGGCCCAACATAGACAAAAGCAACAGAATTGTCACATCAGGGTATACTACCAGAAAATTGTGTTTTTGTCATTAGGACTATCAAGTACCGTATTTTTCGCTCTATAAGACGCGCCTGACCATAAGACGCACCTAGTTTTTAGAGGAGGAAAGCAAGAAAAAAAATATTCTGAATCAAATGGGCACATCATCACAGGCACATTCCCCATCACTTCCCCATGGGCTGCACATCTGACAGACTTACTGCACACACATATTCACTCTATAAGATGCACAGACATTTCCCCTTACTTTTGAGGTGGGGGGGAGTGCATCTTATAGAGCAAAAAATACGGTACTCTTTTCCATTATTGTTGGATTGCATACTTCCTGGGGTGTTTCTCCAGCCTATTCCAAACCATGGTACATAATCAACTCTGTGGTTTGAACAAAGGCTGCTGAAAGCACTAGATTTTAAATCCGTTCTGTCAATTTCTCTCCCATCTTTGACAGTTTCTTGAATATGATGTGGAACTACAGATTGACCTTGGCTACCAACCCGGTTTCTCCTAGACCTATTTTCCTGCTGTTTGGATGTCATGAATTTCCTAAGGCTGCAAGGAAGATAAAAGTGCATGAAGTGACAAATTAGGCCAGCAGAGCACAGCTGTTGCTTAAGTCATGCCAAAGCTAAGCAGTTGTGGCCAAGGATAAATAAATCCGTATTTGTTGCTATTACATTTGCGAAGTGCCAAACACAACGATTCTGGGCAGTCTCTGACCAGGATTCAGCTGTGTTCTCTATGACAAACTTTCCAATTCTTTGGCTGATACAATTGCTTTTATTTTGTGTACCTTGGAGACCACAATTATTGGGTACTGATTTAAATAGCAGGAGATTGATAATAAATGGCATTCAACCTTGTTCTATTTTAGCCAGCTCCAACCGGTAGCAATTACTTTTGCCGATTAAATAAATAAGATACAGTTAAAACATGATGGTTGGCTATACTTGCACAACATTAAAAACATGGTGGTTATTTAACCGGGGCTGGTCCACAGTGTAGAGCTAGCTTGTACAGGGGACATTTCGAATATGAAACCCAGTTCATGAGTTATCATTTCACCTAGGCCATCAAGTGTTATTTGAGACCCACTCCAGTTTCCTCAGGGTTAGGGTCAGGGTTTTTTAACTCTGAAATAACCCTAAGTGGCTGAGTCTACATGACACAAAAAGTCCCTAACAGAACATGCTGGGCAACATCATGCATTAAATAACCCACGACAAGTGGCGATTTTGTGAGAATCCTATCCTTTGTGTATTTCCTGATCATACTTTACCAATGTAATAAGAAACCACTTACACCTCTATCACAGCTGAGTATAGTTATTGCACACAATACAACCAATTTGTGAGAAAGAAATACACTCTTCATTTTAAGCTACAATGGGATTTGTTTTCTCTAGTTAATTGGCAGCAATCTACAAAGCAGAATGTATAACTTCAAAGCCAGTACCTCAGTACTCCTAGTATTACTAATATTGCAATTTAAGAAGCAGATTTAACCCTGCAGATTTAACCCGGCAGAATGCCAGATTTTCACTGGCATTCTGGGGCAGGCATGGCAGGTGACAGCAATGATATCTTGCATTTTCCTATATGTCAGACATGGTTAACACAGTCATACTGTACACATTTCTTTTAGAAATGTGGTATCAACTATACATTTAATGGGTATCATCTTAAAGTATTAGACATTCAAATATGGGCAACAAAACAAAACTAATTGCTCTTCATAAAATATGTACACATAAAAAGGACAATTAACTACTGCAGCGAACAGCCACCAGGATTCCCGGATGTGGCCACCTGGGCTCCAATCTCCACCCAGTATCTCCTGATCCTGAATCCTGGACCAGACACTGGAT